AATAAATAAACATATTTTTTAAAATAAATAAAAAGATTCACCCATAATAAGCAAAGCCAGCAAAAACAAACAAATAAAACAATGACAATCAAACACCCCCCACCCCCACCCCCCGAATTTAAAAAAAAAATGAGGCCCGTATAAAAAAGAAGAAAAACAAGCTCCTTAACACACGCCTTTATTGGATAAAGGCCTACATCTGGACAGAGAGTGCCCATTGCCACGATCGGTTCGGTTCGGTTCGGTTTGGTCGGCTGGGCTAGCCAGATTGAGGGCTGATGGCGCAAAGTGACCATCGAGGCACAAACCGAACGCCCAACTCGCGTCGCGAATCGAGCAATCGGTTTGTGGACCCCCCAATGGGCACTGGGTATTAGGCCAATGACCGGGCCGGGTATGTCATAATATCCTTTGATGAAGAACTGTCGAAAAAACGGCCACTTACAGTGGTCAGTTCACTGGAAAAGAAAAGCAAACAGAGAGCTGCAGTCACATGGTCGGCATGGTCAAGCTGACCTCCGTATATAAACAGCTGACAGATGGTTTTCTTGTGGTTTTCCTGTAACATAGATCAGTCGGCTGTTGACTCTCTACAAAACGTGTGTGTGTGTGTAAGGGTGTGCGCAAAGATTCTGTACTACACGATCTTTGGTGTAAGCTCGCTTCGGTGCTTTTGCTTGTTCACGTTCGTCTGGTCACGGTTGAAACAAGGTAAAATGAAATCGCTCTGTTTAATAATTTTCTTCGATCGGTTAAAAGGAGGGGGAAACAAAATTGTAATACGGGATGCCCACTACTGCTGGATCGGGCCGATCGCCCGACTCGGTCGCCTGAAACTGAAATCAACAAACACTTTTGTTTTTGAGGCGACCGAATTGGGCAATCGGCCCGACCCGCCGATCCCATCCATAATGAGCACTATTTGTATTAGGAAGTATTCTTTTACTGTCCCTCCCGTTTCACATTTAATTTTAACTACCATGTGTCCATTTTCTACTACATATTAATGTGCTGAACACAAATATCGACTTCATTCCGTCGCAAATTAATAGTTAAAGAATTATTTGATGGTTTATAATGGAATTTTATCATACTAAGCCTAATTGCGTATTCATTTTCGCGCTTTAGACAAATGGGGGGGGGGGGGGGGGGGGGGTTGGTGCCGTTAGGTTTGAAAATGTATTGAAAATAACTGATTTGCGACGGTTTTAGTGGCTATATTATGTGTGGTCTGTAGCAAATAATACTGCAGTTTGACCCTCAAAGTAGTGCATCTGTGTGCAGGAGTGAAAGTAAAAATTTACCGCATTTTTGATAGTATGCTCTTGTATGTGTCTGTCCTTTGAAGTTTCAGTTAATGAAAACAGTTGTTTGGAAAAGGAAGTTATGCTCCTTTTTTAAAGTGCCCTAAAATGTGGGTGGTTAACGGATGGTCTGGTGTGTTTTGTTCCTTCTTTCCTATCAAACATCTGTCGTCCTTATCTCCCCTCCTCATTTTTTGTGTATTTTACTCTCTTGTAACACGTAATCTATTCTTCGACACTTATGTGACCTTATTGTGTTGCAAGTTCCGTAAAACTCTTACTAAAAGTAAAAAGTTCCCTAAAACATCCCGTCTTCACATGTTTGTAACCCCCCGGGATGGTGCCACTGACTGAAGTGTCTTTAGGCCATTCCCAAAGGGGGGACATTTCTCGTTCTTACACAGTAGAATTGTAAATGGGCTGATTCATCAATGTCACGCTCATAACTGTGCCTGATCTACAACAGGGAACTGCTGCTTTTTCTTTCCTAATCCTTACTAGATTCTATTGTAATTTTACCTCTATTTCTTTTGTATGTTTGTCACACTCTTGTGACCCACTATTTCCGGGGTGCCATGATAGTCGAAGCAGACTTTGTGCTGTTGAAGTTGAAGCTAGAGAGGTGAGCAGAGTAAGGCCGGTCCAAAATATTTGTTGAATGTCCAGAATGCGCGTCGCCAAAGAGTTGACGTACGATTCAATGAAAAGGGGTGAGTAATTATCGAGACTCACGTGAAGACGTCTAGACACTTGAGGGATAAAATCTAAAAGCTCACACTGAAATGTGGGGGCCGGGTGGTGTTGCAGTCCCAAAAATTGACCAATTTGTTGACAAGGCAACTGTAAGTGATTCGTTTTAGTGATCCTGTGTATGCACCCCAAAAAGTGCTTTTTTAAAATATAGAGCCCAAAGAGACAAGCTTTCTATTTTATTACTGGATCAAGTTAAAAAAGATATTTTTGTTCGTCCGCTGGCCTGTAGAAGTGAGATGTATAGTTTCGAGGGCATTGGGAAATTAATAAGTGAGCTAGAATTTTTCCACGTGGACAGACGAAGGTGAACAAGCCTGCTATTATTAGGCTATTTACGGTCTCTACCCTGGCCCAGGTCTGCCTCAGAGATCAAATCAGCTACATTTAAAAAGTAGCCTTTTTTATATAAGACAACGGGCAACACTGATTTTTTAAATCGCTTTGTTGCCTTTTGACAAAGTGATGGCTTTCAGCTAAAGGTCGCAATGAAAGAATGGGTTTGATTATTTCAGAGTTTGTTTCAGAAAGTTGTTCATAATCAGCGCGCTAAACCAGCCTATTTTTGGAGTCGGTGAGTCATGACGTCAACATTATACTTTTACCCAGAATTCAAAGCGAATCCAAAATGGCCTGCGTCTGAACACAAATACAAACATTCCTGTGGGTCGAAAACAATCGGAAGCAATCGAGGTCAGAATAGGTGTTATTTTGTTATGAGAGTATCTTTTGTTCTTTCATTGTAACGGGATGATCAAGACTGATGTGTTATTTTCTGCTGTACAATGTTTTATGTTGTTTATTTTTACTCCCGCCATGACAAAGAAAATGCACGTTCACAGTGTTTACAATAAACTAACAATGATGTTTTTGTCTTTGTCTCCAGTCGTAGGGTATGCAAAGGGATACTTTTTAGATGCCGGTACCAAGCATGAATAATTCTTCTTGGGAAGGCAGCCAGGGTATGCTGAATCAAAGGGACATGGCCGGAATGAGGCAGAACCAAGGCACGCGTTCTCAAGATGATGCTAATGTTGGATATTTGTATCAAAGAAGTCACAATGATGTACAAATGGGCGGTGGATTTCCCCACAAAAGATGGGCTGTGGGTGATGACAGTATTCTCGAACAGGTAAGGCTAAAAATGAATTTGTCATTAAAAGAGTTTGTGTTGTTTTCTTACATTTTCTTTGAGCATTCTTGGAAGGCGCAGACAAGAAAGGCAAGGTGTCCAGTGTCACACTTCTCTGGACAGTCAGTCAGTGGTAACTGGTCCCAAGTCAGTCCAAGTTGTGTCCCAGACTCAAGTCAAGGAGGCTATTTGAATGACTGTTTGGTTAGAAATTGGGGTACTGACTGGTGAGGTAGCCTATCAAGATCTCCACATCTTTTTTTTTGTCTAGAGTCAAGAGATGGATTCTAGTCCTCTAGTCTGGGTTGATACTGACATCACTGCTGATGAAGCTACAAAAGAATGGTGTTGAACCTGAATGGCTTCCTGGTCATAATCACTACTAAACCTTCTAAATCAGTAGTGTAGTCAGTAGTAGCCTATTTAGTAGTAGGGTAGAGGTTACTAAGAAGGATCTGGCGGATGGGGTTAAAAAGGTCCAAGAACAACATAACATCCATGGGTCTCATTATTCCGCTATTTAGCTGATTTCTTCTGCTAGACTCCACTACTGCAACAGCAGACCAATCAGAAAATTTGTTCGAGTTATAGATCTAAATCTATCAGTTGCTTGGAGGGGCACCTCCCAGTAATGTGCCACTACTTGCTGTACATATAAAATCAAGAATGTAATTTATATTTGGTAAGTAAAACTCTTTTGCTTGAAATTATCTTCCCAAAACCTCAAATTCAAGTTGGTATGAAATAACCTCGCTTTGATAAATTGATGGATGTTTTTTTTTTCCCCTGAATTTTAGGTTTAAACAATATTTATAATAGAATCTAATAATCAATCATGCAGAAAGTTTCTCCTATAAAATTCTGAGTTGAGACCCATGCATATCACAGATGCCACAAATGTAGGCTTTTAGTACAGAACCGAAACCTGCACCTCTCCTCAACTTCTTTTAAGGAAACTGGACCCAAGGAAGGAAAAAATAAAGTAAGAGGTTAATGAATAGAGGAGCTGCTCCAACTGACTCTCTTGACAATAATAATAATTATAATCTATTGAGAAATTCTGTTTATGGGCTGGTCATTGTAAGAGTCTACAGACCTGATTTTTCTAAAAATGGCATTTGGTGGAGTCTTACACACAGAATGAGTTTTAGCTGTCTAGATCTATATGACGAAATGAAGTTTAGGTACCACCAAACTAAGATCAGATTCTATACCATCTATCTTACATAATTGTGAGCATGCCGGACTGATATTTCACTCAGTTTGACTATTGTGACTGCAGGACTGAAAACCAGATTACATTTTTAAAAATAGCAAATCAACACATTATGAGTCTAGTGCCTTTGCATGCCTCCACTTGATTTACGTGGAATAACCCTAGTGTCTTTTATTTTAAAAAGTATGTTTTCAAGGTGGCTTTGGATCCTTTTATAATAGTAAAAACGTAATCTGTGGAAGCAGACCACTTAAGCCATCATTATTGTCATCATCATCATCATCATCAAGAAAGGCTCAACTTCAACACCTATGTTCTGATCTGGGTGATCTTCTCTACCTCCAGCTAGTTGTGTCCCTCGATATAAATTTTAAAAAAGGCCCTGAGATTTGCCACTAGATCTAGATCTTGTTCCCAGATTCAATCATTCTTAGGCCTTGTTTTGTTACATTGCGAACTGGCTTCCTAGGACCTAGCCATGTGCTCAGTCCACCACCATCTTTTCTTGATCTCCCCGTCATTTGATCGCATGATACATTTCTGATAGTTGGCCTGTGGATTTTCTTGAGTTTCTTTAGGCAACCATAAAAGAATTTTTATTTTTTCTCTATTTTACTAAATTAAAAAAAACTTGCTGTGAGATACCAGTGCCAAATCATCTGCAGAGTGGATGAAAATGGTAGAGATGTGCATTGTCATTATTGGGTTGACCAAATTTTAAGTTTATCCTTGTTGTTTTTTTTAACAAAGAAACCTCTATGTACAGTTCAACGATATATTCCATACTTGTTCCAATTCGTTCAATGTTTCTACTTGATATAGTACAGCCTGACACTTCTATTGCAGTAGTAAAAGTAAAAAGCATTTCTTAAAGAGCAGAAGTTTTTGTGCTGTCACCTTATGGTATGTAGTCTGCTTTCTCCGTATCCTCAGTGAAGCCATCAAAGGTTATTTTATTTTTATACTGCTTAAATTGAAGGTGTTAAAATCAGCATGTGAAGATTGTACGAGATACAAATGAATTTATCCAAGACGGCCACCCATTGTGGAGAATATATTTGCTGTAGACAGTCATATTATATAGAAAAAACAAGGGGCGAGTGGTAGTTTGGACAGGTATATTCTATGTCTTGGGACACATGGCTTTCAGGTCAGGTTGGGATGATTTTGATTGTTAATGAGTTAATGTTGCAAGGAAGGGAGAAGGAAAACAAAATTTTAAAGTATAATTTTACATTCAGATGGCTATTGTCCCCCTTCTTGGGCTATTGAAATGTCTATCAAGATGCTCTATAGGGGATTTCAAGCAAAACAACAGTGTTGTAAAGTTCACATGTCATTGTTTTGCTTCTTTCAGGGTCGGATGGTAGGCCCTATTGTTTTTTCTTCCTCACAATACCATTATCCACTGTGCTGTTTAGTTAGTGGAATGATGTAAAGACCAAACATATCTACTCACTCACACACACACACACACACACACACACACACACACACACACACACACACACACACACACACACACACACACACACACACACACACACACACACACACACAAAGATACAACACTTGTGCCACAGAGATGCATTTTCAGTAATTTTATGTGTTTCAGTTTTTCAAACTTCAATGGGATTAAAGTTTTAGTTTATGATTTTATTGTTTTAAATTTATGTGGGCTTTTTTTTTGGTCACAGAACCGCCAGATGACAAGTGTACAGGACCTGGAGAGGCAGTTTCAGGGAATGGCTATGGCCAATGCGCCAGGCAGACCTGATGTGAGTGTAACTGTATTCTTATGTATTCCTCTGTTTAATGGTTATTTGATTATGATTTTACTTTCCTGAGTGATGTTTGTTATGTGTTATGTTCACTTCGTTGTGTGGTTTGTGAAGGCCTTTCTTCTTTCTCATGTCATTTTGTCCTTTACCTGTAGCAGGTGTCAGTTGTTTTTTTGGGGGGGACGGGGACGGGGATTTAAGTGTATTAATTTTATGTTCTTCTAGTTTGACATCATGTTGGTGCCTGATTGGTATTCTGATGTGGTCTTACTACCCTTCAGTCTTTTTGGTTTCTATTTTTGTGATCTGTTCCTGATGAACACAATTTCAAAGTGAACAGTGGCAATTATTATCTTTCCACTTTCAAGATGTGTAAATTAGCTGAAAGCTTATGAGAAGTAGTGGGGAGATATCTTGAAAAAGCTATGTAGAAAGGATATGTTAGCTGTGAAGCTTAATTTTAGTGGATGGTTTTAGGTTCTCTAGTGTGGTTTGCTCCTTTCTTCCAATCTAACATGTATCGTATCATCGTTATTCCTCCTCCTTTTTGGATTTGTTACTTTTTTGTAACAACACCTGTATCCTTCAGCATTTGTGTGACCTAATTGTGTTGCAAGTGCTGTTAAACTGTTTCTTATAAATCTAAAGAAGCTTGATTTTAATGAACAAATGGAGGTGTTCCTGTGAAAAGTTAGGTCGTATTCAGTCATTGATACATGTTCAGTTCTCTAAGGCAGACTAAGGTTTGATTTTGAGTAAAGTCCATGGCTGATGCAACCTGAGGGGATGATTCATCAGGGTAGTGATGTGTCTCATAACACCTGGCCTGTCCTTTCTGGGTTGGTTGTTTGTGGACATTAGTCACCTGCTGTCATGCCTTGGAGGGAAATTCAGTGTTGGTCATCACTTTCTGCAAAGTGGGTGGTTGGCAGGTGCTCTGTGGTGTGGTTTTCTCCCTCTTTCTCAATAAATATCTCTTGTCCCTATCTCTCATTTTCAGTTTATTTCTATGTTACTGTCTAGTGAGCAGGTGATTGAGGGTGTCACTCGTAGGTCCTACTTTTTTTACTTTCTCTCTGTTGTTTCTGTCTTTATGTGTTACTTTTTCGCAGCACTAAATGACCATTATTGAGTCTGACTCAAGATGTGATACTCTTGACTCAAACAAACTGTCTAGTAACACCTGTAATCTACTGTATTTATATGATTGAATTGTGTTGCAAGTGCCGTATAACTCTTTTAACTATAGCTTAGTACAAAATGGTCTGTGCCTTTTATGTGGAGGTTTCAGTTCTTTTGGGTTTAGAAGAATTCAGCTGATTTTGTCAATGCGTGCGCGAACTCTCACACACACACACACACACACACACACAAGTTACAACTTCAGTGTGAATGTGATTGTGTCAGGTGAAGTGACAATAGTTTTTATGAAGTCTTGTTTTCTCTCGTTGAACCCCATTTGTTCTTGTGTCTTCAGATGGGTCATCAGTCCAAAAAGTTATGGGATGATGAGCCCCACAAAGCTGGCGACGGACAGCACAAAGGAATGTTTCACAACTGGACCACCAGGGATGACACATGGACAAGCAATCCCGCAGGTAAGTAGTACCTTACTAGCCAGTTATTAAAAAAAAGAAGAAAAAAAGAGGACCAAATTAAAGGAAGATTGGTGAACTTTAGGCCAATTTCAACAAAACTGGGAACAGGTAGAATTCAGCCAAGTGGATGTCAAATTTATTAGTATGAAGAAAAGAGGTATTGATAGTGTCAACATAAATTGAGTGAATGGCAAGACTTTTCAACTTCTTAAAAGTCAGCCATATTCCCAAAATCTTTTTTGCAAACCATGCAAGTGCCACTCTTGATGTGTGGGGGTGTGGCCCCACCCTACTGGAACCAGGCCTCTTCAACATCATAATACACTTCCTTCTTTTCTTCCCAAGAGAAAACCAAGCAAAACAAATCATAAAACTTCTCCAAAACTTTCTCGCTACGGTATCATCCATTTAATGTAACAGTTGTGCTTTATTGTCCTCATTTTGAAACCTGGATGGGCTAATCATAGCCCTGTAGTTCTTAACAGTAACATTTTTCGTTTTATTCAGTTACTGGAGTAATTTCCTAAACTTGGTAATGTGACTACTGTCTAGCATGCATATATATAGCAAAATAAGCGGGAGGCAGAAATCTTTTTATGTATGAATTTCGCTATGTACATATGTTTCAATTACGAAGAATATACATGTGTTTAAGAAAAAGTGTGGGACCTGAATGTCTGTTTGCTATGTGTGTATTTCGTTATGTGTGTGCTAGAATGATTAATATGTTGGCTCATATCTGACTTCATTTATCTCTTTTTGAGCTGTCTTGTGCTGTGCTGTTGAACGCATGCATAATGACCATTTGTATGTGTACAAAAAAACAATACTTTCACTTGATGTTGGGAAATCCTGTATCGTAAATGATTGCATAACTTTGAAAATATTGCTTATTCATTCATTTCTGATTGCTTGCATTTCAGAACCTTCAAATCAAATTGGCGTGAGTATGGTGGAGGTGTTACTTGGGGGATCACCAAACAAAATGGAACCAAATGCTCTCAGTCGGATAAAGCCTTTTGTAAGTCTTGGTGCACTCGGTGTACGTTTACCTTGTAAGATTTTATCTTTTGAATTTGGGACATTGAAAATGCTTATTATTATCTCATGTAGGTTGTTTGTAGCTAATTTTTTTTTGCTTTGATTTTTCATCTTTGTCCTCACTAAAAATAACATTTTATATCTCAATGACTGGTTTCAAAATAGTGAGCTTTACAAAAGTGATTTTTATTAATGTAAGAGGTATCAAAATAGTTTTTTTTTTCCATACAAATGTTTTCTCTCATTTTTTTTATAGTGGATGGAGCAGGGGGTACCGTACATCACTTTTGTTTTGTGTGGAGCTTTTGTCAGCTTTGAAATTTTAAGTTATAAGGAAAAGACAAGTGGACTGGGTACTCATAAAAATTTGTGTTGAAATAACGATGGCAGGTTAATTTCTGAAGCCAATATTCCGAGAAGCCAATGAATATTTTTGTGATGGTAACGCTGTTTGTTTTTTTTTATTTAAAAAATGGCTTCAGAGTGTTGTCCCATGAGTATCCTCTGCTCTAGTCCACAATTGCTCCCTAGCGTTTTGAGTAACACTGGTCAACTGTCCTGTGGCAAAAGACGCAGTTCCCTCGACAGGTTCCGCAGCAAGAGCCCCACCTGGTGGAGGAGAAGAAGAGCAAGACCCCGTCCCCGTTTGAGGAGGGGGGCGCCGGCGATGACGGGAAGGACAGCCTTCAGGCCAACGGGATGCTGCCCAACGGCCTCGATGATGGGGGCTTCCGGTCAGTTTTTTAATACCTGGACTTGATGTTGAACGACTTTATTGCTGTCTCTTGTTGAGTTTTGTTCTGTCAGTTGCTGTCATCATGTGTTCCTTACGTCCACTGTTTTTGTACCGTTCTTTGACAGTGGTCAGTCTTCCGTTCATTTTTTTTATACCGGGGCTTGATGTTGAATGACTTGATTGCTTCCTCTTGTTGAGTTTGTTTTGTCAATTTTTGCCATCATGTGTTCCTTAGGTCTAGTGTTTCGTCCCCAGTTCTTTGATTCGTAGTGGTCAGTTTTTTAAAATACTGGGCTTGATGTTGAATGACTTGATTGCTGCCTCATTTTGTTTGTTTTGTCAATTGCTGCCATCATGTGTTCCTTACCTCCAGTGTTTTTGTCCACTGTTCTTTGACTCATGGTGGTATGGTGGTATTTTCTATTATCAGGATATTAAAAATTGGCTTTCTTTCTTTGTCACTGTGAAGAAGCAAAATTGTACGCTCTGGATAACTGTAATCCTATGCCCTGTATTCTGTGGAGAGAGTTCTGGGTAGACTAGTAAACAGACTAGTTATAAATTATTTTTTTTGGTTTTTGGTCCTCTTGAAGCAGTGCTGGACTTAACCAAGAAATTTTGAGGCTAGTAGCAGAATATTTCTGTTAAAAATGACGAAGTGTGATGGGAAGTAGGGTGGGGTCGGGGGTGATGTGATAGTATTGCCAGAAGTGGACCCATGTTTCGTGTCGGTACTGCAGACTGGCAGAAGTCGGTGTTAGTGGGTGCTCTGGTGTGGCTTGCTCCTTTTTTCTGTTGAACATCTATCGTCTTTATTTCCCCTCCTTTTTTTGTGTTTGTTATTCTCTTGTAACACCTAATCGTCGTCACTTATATGACCTTATCGTATTGTGAGTGCTGTACAACTTGTATAATACTAAACTAGTCTTTGACTCCTATATTACCTTATTGTGTTGCAAGTGCCATAAAACTAAAGACTGTGGGTGGTTGGTGGGTGCTCTGATGTGGTTTGCTTCTTCTTTCCTATGAAACATCTATCGTCTTTATTTCTCCTCCTTTTTTGTGTTTGTTATTATCTTGTAACACCTCTAATCTTCGGCACTTGTATGACCTTTTGTGTTGCAAGTGCTGTAACACTCTTATTAAAACGTAAAAAACTCCAGACTGGCAGATAAGATCATTCTCTGTTTCTCCACCAGGGGCAGCAGACAGACATCCCCGGCAGATGAGGAGAGACAAGCGGCGGTTGCGATGGCCATGGACCCACAGAAGCTCCACCTGCGGGACGGCGGTGACTTTCTGGACAACGGTCAAGCGGCGGTGGGCTTCAGCCTGGATTCCCACCACCACACGCAGTTTGAGCAGGTGGGGCTGGACACGCTGCCGTACGGTGGCGACTTTGGGAACCAGATGATGTCCAGCATGGATAGCCCCAACAATTACAACATGGACTACAATCAGGTTCGTACTGCTCTCTTTTGATCTCTTTCTTTCTCTTTCTCACTCTCTCATGCCGTCACTCCAAAACCAACCTCCCCACCCACATGTTCCTTTGTGTGCGTCTTTAAACTGTGGTCAAGGGAAACTGATTTGTAACAGCACGGAATGTAATGATGTCAGCATGATCTGTACATTGTGTGGGTTCTCCTTTGCTTGAATGTATATTTTGCCTCTTCCGTCCCTTCAAACTATGTCTCCCTGTGCCAATTCGCTACCTCAGAATTACAAAGTTCTATCTGCTTGAGAAATTTGACCTCAAAACGGCCCAAAAATGTCGGATTATACTTTGTAATTGTAAAGGTAGCGAATTGCACAAGATCCAGGCCAGTGAACCCGTAACAAGGAACCAGAAGCCAGTCTTTTTAAAGGTATTTTTCTTTCAGATTGTCACCTTTCAGATTATCAGGAAGCAAGACGAACGAGCCGTGCTCAATACTTTTGCTTTATTATAATATTAGCAAAAAATGTATTACTGGCTTTTAGTGGTAGACAGCGCCTGGCGATGATACACAGGTGAACGAACGCTGGACACAGCATTGCAGCACGATACATTAAGCGACGCTCACAAACGCTTTGACAGACAAGTGAACAGAGATGCATGTGATAAGAGTAGTATTGCTACATTTTTCCCCTTCTTAGGAACTGATGCTCATTGTAATAATGTGATGCTAAAAGGAAAGAAAAAAAGAGGTTACAAAGAGTTAGCGAACATTGGTGAACAACAACCTACGTCTTATTTGATCGAACGAACTTAGGAAGTCTGTGATCGACGTGATATTCATGTGTACGAAACACTTATTTGTAGAAAGTTTTTGTGTGTCATGAAAGATGGGGTGTTTTTTTCTCTCTGGTGATCAACACATCCCCATAGTGAAAACGTTTTCCTGACCAACGACACACATGCTGACCACTGAGTGCCCCCAGTGCCGCGTGGGAAATGCTAGCTGTACAGAGAGATTGGCCACGAGTGGGTAAGAGAGCTGCGTCCGTTGAAGCTCGCAGGTTGACAGTGTAGGCTGTCTGTACAATTCATTGAATTGTGATCGTGTTGCGCGCATGTGACTAATAATATGAAGTACAAGAAGTTGTGTCAGGATACTGTAGTCTTCGTGTAAGATCCCAGTGCTCGTGAGAGCAAGGAATATGCGGGATAGTGGAACTGGTTTCTAGCCGACATACCAAGGAGAGAATCTACGGTGACCCATGTTCAGGCCCACAACCGGTAAAATGGTCTCCTTTCACTCTGTATTGAACTGACGTGATCCTCTGGGTGGGTTTGTGACGAATGGCAATCAAAGAGGGGTCAACTTTGACTAATCACAGTGGTATGAGGCATGCCATTTTCACTTATTCTCCAATTTTGAGTCTCAAGATCTACCCTTATCCAGTTGCTCCTCCCTTTAACCTGACCAAAATTTATAGCTTTCCGTCTGTGACCTAGTTTCACCGCCTTTATCGTTATGCACCATTGTGTTATGACTACACCAATTAAATTTCAGGCTGTCTCGAAAATTAGGGAGTAGAGACAACTGTTGCAATGGTCAGGAAAGCGTTCACAGTTTGATGTGACCCTGCCTGGTGCAAACCTGTAGGCCTTACCCACCCAGCTTGTGATGTAAGTTGATGAAGAGCTCAGCAGATGCGAGTGCGATGTTAGGGGAAAACAAACATGTTGGCGGCGAGTTAGCTCCTGGTTGTGATCCTGTCTGGGGCACACATTGCAGTTTCATCGAGATTTACAATGGACATGTGATCACATTCACAGAGATCACAATTTTCCACGGATCCGCTATTTTCTGCGGTAGCGAGGACTTCCCTAAATCCACTCCGCAGTCTTAACCGTGCCTGCGGTCGTTCCGCCCTGGCCTTAAGCCGGGCCGCAGTAGGCATTGAGTAGCCTGAGATTGGCCCTGAGGCGCCCTGCGATCTGCGGATTGGATGCCAAAGTCATCATCAAGCACAATGGGAAAGTAAGCGGAATGTGTCTTTATTTTGGTTTATTTAGCATTTTTACAACTGATTTTGGGGTTTGCATTATTTACGGAAGTCTATCGGATTGATTGTCAAAGTTTAGGGGTTGGCGAAGTTTTCAAGGCGATTCCTGCATTGGTGAAATTGGCTGATCTGTGACGCAACCGGCACTTTAAATTTAACAACTTTTCACATGGTTGACCTGCTGTGCCTGCCCACCCTCGTTTATGTTCCGTAAATTATGATCTGAAATGCGGGATCTTAGCTGAATGTAGACCTTCTGAGGGGGATCTTAGGGTGACTTTATGGGAAGTAGAAATTTTCTTAAAACAGTGAGATCTTAGGCGAACAGGGATCATTCTGTGGTGGGATCTTGGGCAAACTGAGATCCGAAGGGGTGGGGTCTTAGGTGGAGACTACCGTATTAACCTTTTGTTCTTTTCGACTGCTTAGTGTAAGACTTAATAGTACATCATTGTGAAAAGTGAAGCACACAAGTCTTATACGGGGTGCCCACTACAGCTGGGATCGGCCGATCGCCCGACGCGATCGCCTCAAAAACAAATGTGTTTGTTTTCAGTTTCAGGCGATCGCCCCGATCCAGCCGCAGTGGGCACCCCGTATCACAATGAGCAGTCGTTTAGTATTGTAAAAAATAAACAACCCAACATCAACAGAAATACATTTATTTAAGACATTGTTACTGACACCTTGAAGTGGTTAACTTGTTACAAACTCAGTGCACAAGCGTCAAATGCTTTAGTTGTGAAGAAAAGTTTTTATTTTTGATAACCCGATGAGCTTCATTAAATGATAAACATAATAGGTTTCGAAGATTGATGATATTTGCTGGGAAGGATACTGTTAGATATTCCCGTTCTACATAGGCTGAGGTATAACTTAGAGAGTAAGTTTTGATTTTTCTCATTGCAGTGTTTTTTTTTCTGTACTTTTACTGTCTCTTCAAGTGAACATTGCCATAGATTTGTTAATTTGTATGTTTCACATTCTGATAAAGTTTATATTTGTTAATTTGTATGTCTCACATTCTGATAAAGTTTATATTTGTTAATTTGTATGTCTCACATTCTGATAAAGTTTACATTGCTCAATTTGTATGTCTCACATTCTGATGTTGTTGTTGTTGTTGTTGTTATCGATTGGATCCAGCAACAGCTGGGCTCTCGCCCTTCTGTCCAATGCCATGTAGTGAAAAGGTTTGTTGCTGTTGCTCACATTCTGATAAAGTTCAGGTATGTTGATTTGTATGTCTCACATTCTGATAAAGTTCAGGTATGTTGATTTGTATGTCTCACATTCTGATAAAGTTCAGGTATGTTGATTTGTATGTCTCACATTCTGATAAAGTTCAGGTATGTTGATTTGTATGTCTCACATTCTGATAAAGTTCAGGTATGTTGATTTGTATGTCTCACATTCTGATAAAGTTCAGGTATGTTGATTTGTATGTCTCACATTCTGATGTTGTTGTTGTTATCGATCCAGCAACAGCTGGGCTTTCGCCGTTCTGTCCAATGCCATGTAGTGACAAGGTTTGTTGCTGTTGCTCACCTTCTGATAAAGTTTAGATTTGTTAATTTGTTTGTCTCACATTCTGATAAAGTTTAGATTTGTTAATTTGTATGTCTCACATTCTGATAAAGTTTAGATTTTGTTAATTTGTATGTCTCACTTTCTGATCAAGTGTTTTGTTATGGATTTTGTTTTTATCCGAATCATATTTTATGAACATTGATGGTGTTGGGCACAAAGTGGCAACGTTTGCAAAAACATGTTTGGATGATTTGAAGTACTTTAACAGGGCTCTGACCACTTATTGGAATTTGGCTGTTAGTTAGCATGTTCCTTGTTCTGCCAGGGTAATCATACTTCTACATGTGATGGGGATCCACTTGCACTATGATAAGATATCCGCAGAATTATTTTTTAAAAGATTCTAAGACTGCCAGTGTTTGCCTCTTACACCATCAATGTGTATATATAAGATTTATTGTATAATGAATAAAAAAAAAAAAATGATTGCTCGATTTCAAATGACAGTAATTCACTTTCCATCAAGTACACAGTTTGTAACATTAGGAAAGGGCAGGATGGAGTGTCGTCTTGTCCCTTCTTGAAACATTCCTTCCCACCATGGCTCAAATCTATTGTGGAGTTTTCTTCACCACCAGCCAGTCTCGCTGGTTTATCCACAGTATCAATCAGTATCGCATAAATTTGAGCCTTAGTTGGAAGGTAAGAAGGGACAAGATGGAACTCCATCCCATAGTATCTCTTCCTTTTGGGGGGGGGGGGGGGGAATGATACTAAAAAGGTATTGCGTCGGCATAGAAATGTTTCTCTCAAGTCGGGATAGCTCAGAACTCCCAATTGTCATTTCTGTGAGGGTGATGAAACCTGTAAATTCCTTGCCATATTGACAGACCGAAGGGCTAGAACCCGAATGGCCGCTGGGTCGGAAAAGTAAAAGTAAAGTGAGGGTGATGAAGACGTACAATGCTGTACCCACAGTAGTTGATACAGGTGGAGGTGGACTTTCATGTCCATCTAGTCATAGTGGTACGGGAAGTTTGATATAGCACTATGTGCGTGGTTGTAAACAAAGTGCTTAGCTAGGTAATTTGTACATTTGTTGTGTTGTCGCAACCTCACAGTGACCAGTGACACTTCTTCAAATGGTACAATAAATAAGATGATGAATTATTCTCATTTGAAGTCAAGTTGAATCATTTTGAGCTCATGTGTGTTAGGTAGATCATAAGTTAGTTGCTTTTTCTAGCTGATGAATTTTCACGAAAAAGATTTTATGGTAATGTGTATTTTTCTTGGACAGGTGGTGCATTTTCTGTTTATTTATTAATTCATTTTTTTGACGAATAATATGTTGTTTTGTGGTAATGTGTCTGTTAAAGAAGTGTTCTTATTAGTTGTGTCATGATGGCTTTGTTGCTTTATGATTGGTTCTTTCCTTACCGTTTGAGTTGCACAGGGTAGGCCAATGCTCTTTTTTCGGTTCGAGCCTTGGCTCGGTCCGACGTTGTGTCCTTGGGAAAGGCACTTTACACGAACTTCCCACTTGGCTAGGTACTATCGGAGACGGACGTTTAACTAGGAGGTCCCCGCCGCTTAAATAACCTAATCGTGTTGATAGAGGCATTAAACTCGTACCATTTCACCATTCATTCTTCAATATTTTCATTCTGCTTGTGTTTCAGTGCGGCTACTAATGTCGCAAGGTAATTATTGTCACCAACTGTGACTGGACAGTGACTCAGCCAGTAGTGGTCAAACTCGCCTAGCTCGGGGGGGGGGGGGGGGGGGGGGTATTCTTAAGGAATCACTTGATCAATAGGAAATGTGCAAGTCATTAATAATTTTAATACTTGTTTTTTTTTGTTGTTGTTGTAATAGGTTAATTCAGACTGAAGTCGAAACACTTAATACTATACTTCAGTCTAATTGTGCAAAACGTAGACAATTTTTAATTTTCAGTTTTTGTAATAAGAATCAATTTTGATAAATATAAAATTCAATTATTTTTTAGACCATATATTTTTATGTCTCTTTCTTTAAGATTTGACCTGCTAAATGAGTGGATACTTGAGCATGCATCTATTAGTCAGCTTTTTAAGTAAAATTCTCATTAAAAAAAGAAGTCTCAACCCATGCTGTAGATAAAGGAGATAAGAGATTTTTTTGTACTTCGGGCAGGGAGAAGTGGTTTGGCCACCCTGGTTTATGCCGTTGTGAAGTTCTGACCTTTGAAATGTGAAATCTCTCGTGTGTGAGATTTCCTTTGGTACAGCAATGAAATATTGTTGCATCTAGTACCAATGCTGAACATTTTTGTTCAAGTCATCACTGAATATTTGTTGTTCAATGTTCTAACATTGTATTTTTTTTTTGATGGCTGAAGATGTTGCAGGTATTGTGTAAAAGGAGATTTCCTTTGGTACGGCGATAAAATGTTGCTGCATCTAGTACCGATGCATAACATTTTATTCAAGTCATTGCTGAATATTTGCTGTTCAATGTTCTAACATATTCTATGTGTTTTCTTAATGGCTGAAGATATTGCCGGTATTTTGAAATGGTCAACCCTGTTTGAAGCAATATTGCAGTGGAGCAACGATGAAAGACACGCTTCTCAGACAGGGTTGCCAGTTTTGAGGGGGGGGGGGGGGGGTTTAAAGAGGGGATTATAGAGAGGTTTGGGAGGGCTGGGATTATCAAAGGAAAGGGTGTGTGTCATGTTGAGGGGGTTTAAAGGGAAACTTGGGAAGGGGGCAGGGGGGGGGGGGGATGTCAGGAATGTCCCCCTAATTCCTAATATTTCTCCACCTTTCGCATGCTCCTTATATTATTCCCCACTGGCAGGCACAGTCACGTATGTGCCCCCTTATTTCACTTGTTCTTCTCTTCTGCATACCCCTGTTGTCCATTTCTGCCCATGTCTGTAACGAGGTCCAGACTGGTGGCATTATCCAAACCCAAAAGAGCTGTCTTGTTGCAGTGGATGGTTGACTACGAATGAAGGATGAATGAAGACAATTAATACTGTGTAACAAACACCAACAGGAAGCTTAAAACCCGGTTGCATTGATAATTGGATACATCAGAATAGGTGCTGAAATTGTTAAGTTTTTAGTGAGAAGGGAAAAAACCTAGTTGTTTTACTATGATTGTATAAAGGCCTTATTTCGTCATACGTACTGTCGAAACATTTGAGATCTGGGAGGAGATTCTCATGAGAGTGGACACTGTAAGATCTGATGTAATAAGTTGGATGGAACAGCTTTTTCTTCTGATGTCACTAAGATTTAGAATTCCATCCGAAAGGAAATGCGAGAGAGTTTGAGAAAAGTCTAAAGACACGTTTGTTCAACAGTTATTTTAAATATGAGAATATGTGTTGGTCTGGGAGTGTGTGCGTGTGTGTGTATGTAAGTGTGTTGTTAAAAATACACTGTTTTTATTTGTCAGTTGAGTGATACTTCTGCATTTCTCTGTTTGGGTGGTTGGCGGGTGCTCTTGTGTGGTTTGCTCCTTCTTTCCTGTCAGACAACTATCGTCCTGATCTCTCCTCCTTTTTTTGGTGTTTGTTACTGTCTCATAACACCTCTACTCTTCGGCACCCATATGACCTTATTGTATTGCAAGTGCTGTAAAACTCTTGTTAAAACTAAACAAATGTCTCTGTGATAAAGATGGCATGAGAGGGTGAAACATGTGTGTCACGACACAGTGGAATCAGGCGCTCATCAATTTTTGGGTATATGGAGTTATTGGTATCATCATAAATCTTGTTCATTTGTCTTGCCTGTGAAGGAAAAAATACCTAGTTATCTTGAGTATAATAATAATAAATAATAAATTACACTTTTATTTGCCCCAGAAAGGCACTTTGTTTTACAATGGCAAATATACATACATAAATACATAATTATAAATACATACATACATAAATACATGCATAAATACATACATTTTTATTCACTATTACACCAATACAGAACAATGCCACTGTCGGTCGCCACTGCAGCGCCCTCTATTTTGAGCTAGGGTTGTCGTGTCTTGCTCAAGGACACACCCCCAGTGACCACCCATCTGATCCCCGAGTCACCGACACTTGCTTGACAATGCTTGAGTCAAAACTCACTACTCACTTAGCCGCTGGAGCCCCATAAGTCGAGATATCCGCAATTGAAGGAGGCGACGGTCGCCTTGTTTCAGATGTTAAATTGTCGAAAAAATGTCGCCAAAGCTTGGTTATTTTCTTAGCTTGAGAGCCTGTGGTAACTGGAAACTTGTATTTTTTTGGCTCTTAATCAACTTTTTGAACAAAATCCACACAGAAATGTGTTTTTGGATGGACATAAAAGGTGTTGAGCCAAAAAATTAAATAAAAGTTGCCAAGCACGCAGAAAAATGTCTATTCGATTTTATTATTTTGACGAGTGCCTGGTTTCACCACGCTGCCTCACATATGCCTTTCTCGAGATCTGAACGGTTTCCCTGTGCCATCCAGTCTCTCATGGTTTGATGGCAAGATGTTGGTTTTGTCCTTCGATCATATTGTATAGTGAGACTGACTTGAATTTGCCTTTTTTTTTTTCATTGGCAAAAACTCCAAAGCTCTTTTTACAAAGATATGTTGTTCACAACTTGAGCATCAAATCATTATCTCATAATCTGCTTTCTCAGTGTCCAGTGGCACCAAAAATGATTGTGAAAAAAGTTAAATCTAACAGCAGATGTCAATAATTTTCTGTTCTTTGACATACAAGTGTATTTTTCTTCTTCCCCACCCCCCACACACACACCTTTATTCTTTATGATCAACAATGCTGAGAGTGAGAAGCATACATTTTCTTTACTTTCTTCCATTGTTGTATTTTCATGTCCTAATACCAGTATCTTGATTAATGAAGTTGTTATATTTATACTTTAGCCCTTGGGTTGTATTTTACTTGAACAGTTAAATTTTACCACTGAAATTGTGAATGTTCTTTAATTTATTTGCAATATAGACGATAGAATGAATGTACTCTTTGATGGCTAGTGCCCTTCAGATTATTAATACATTTATGATTTAATATCCTTTTGTATGTGCTATTGTATTTCATATAGTCATGGTACAAGTCGATTAGAAGCAAAACAAAATCATCAAAAGCAACGGCAAAGAGTGGATGAACAGATGGGCCTTGGGAAAGACAGGCAAAGTAGGTTTCAATAAAAGGAAAGGACAGTACCACCCACCGTTAGAAGTGAAAGGAACAGACCACATCCTTTGGTCTGCAAAGATGACACATTCATATACAGCTTCACTTCCGTGTAAAATAAAACTCAACTACCCCCCCGTGTGTCCTTTATGTGACTACACATATATGTGACTGGATCATCACTTTTTCTTCCACTGCACAACCATAAATGATACCAGTGCTGTATTTTCCCTCCAAGACCTAACATTGACACACTTTCTATGGAACATCACATCAATTGTAGCGAACCTGCACTTGTTGCCACATGGAATTAGATAGAAAGGGGGGATGAAAGACAGATAGAAAAGAAGAGAGAAAAAAAGACAAAAATATCGACGGACGGAAAGAAAGACGCAATTAGATAGAAAGGGGGGGGGGGGACACAACTATTGATGGACAAGATGGTCCTTAAATTTTGAAAGTTATCCTTATTCATAACAGTAGTTTAAAAAACAGGATGATTTTCGATGTTTGTTGGCAGATAAGTTTTTCAGTTTTTTTTTTCTTCTGTTGTTGTTTCTTTCTGTCTTGTTTTTTCCCTTGCACTGAACGGTCACTAATGTGCCGATACGCTCTAGTTACTGGAGAACAATTCTTATTTATTGTAACTATCATTGTGTTTAGAGGTCCGTTATCATGTTCTGTGAGTGCGTGTGGACACATTGCACAGCAGTAGTTGCCTTCAACGTTTTCTCCCCTCTCTGTCTCCGCAGCAACTCCTGCAGAGGCAGCAACAGCCCATCGCCATGTTGACCCCCCAGCAACCCTTCACATTGCCAGGCCAGCAACCCCTAGGTATGACCACTGGCCAGTTCACTGCTGCCGTTCTCTTTTACCATTTGGTGGCCTTCCCTTACCCCTTTGATTTTGGATTTTCTCAGAGACCCTTGTTCCTCTGCTTTTTGTGTGTATTGATTTTCTGCCCCTGTTTTTTTTTTTCTTTCAGGAGTTTATTTTTTTTTTCTTCTTTTTTCTTTCTGTTTTAGATGTTGGGATGAATCATGTTACTGGCTATACCCCTCCCCGTTGTCTAAAGGAGACCAGTTCTAGTTCAGTTGTATTTTTTTGTTTCTTTTCATGTTGGCTATTGCTGTTTTAGTTTTATTTTCTTTGTGTGAGTTATCTGTTTGATGTATTATATACGCGTGGTATGTCGTTGTCGAGAAGTGCAGGTGGTCGGACGAGTGCGACCACGAGCTATCTAGACTTGTCTGTCTGTCTGTGCCTATATTCGCTCGCTCCTGTCAGAATTTTCATCTGGTGTACCATCATCATCCTTAGACAGGCGATGTAGACGTGTTGTTCCTTCAATGAACTTGCAATCCTAGTCCAACAGCACATTTCAAGTTGCCCATATATACCCATTCCAGATCCAAGCTCCAAATATATTTTACTATTGCTAATGAACCCTATCCCTGAGCGAAAAGTATAAGTATACCAAACTTCAGCAACACCACCCCCCTCCTTCCCACCAACACCCCCCCCC